ACTGAGGTACCGTGGAAGGGGGGAAAAGCGACTAGCAACTGACTGCACGACGGGCTTCGTTTTCATTTTTCCATGTCATGTGTCAGCGCAGCGTCTCGCCCAGCGGCAATCACAGACGCTGGTTCTATGCAAATGCGAGTATAAATGGATAACTCCATCATCGCAATTCATGCCACTGGCTGCTGCAACTGCTGTAACGCAACTGTAACTGCCGCAGTGCTGCACAGAGAGAAAATGCGAAGCCCTTCTAAGAATTCAAAAGGAAAATGGCAAAGAAGTTAACAGAGATTGCATTTCTTTTCTGTTTTTTGTTTGTTAACTGAGATAGATAATAATTTTTTTTGGTTTTTTTTTTTAACAAAAATGTTACTCTAGTTTTTCCCTCTGCTTAGTGGCAGTTTGCCCGGAATCGCGTTCGCCATTGTGTCAGTAAGTAGCAGTCGAGCCATGACCGCGAAGAGACAGTCGCAATCGCAACAATTGTATTTGCCCTGGTCGTCCTCGTCGACCATCTCCTTCCGCCCCTTTCCTCCTCTCCATTTCGATTTCGTCCTTCGAGTGCCGAGTGCAATTTGGCCAACGGCAGAAATTATGCAAAGCGAAAAAAATGGCATGCGAACTTGGCATAAATCAATAGAAAATTTATACGTTTCGCCGAAGTGAACAGTTTTAGCTTGTCTGCGCGAGACAGTCGGACCGGAGGTCTAGGATTTCGCGTGTTCTACCAGCTTTACTCTCCTTTTTTGACTTCTTTCTTTTTAACATGACATTTGAAATGGCGTTCTCTTTGTCAGGGAAAATTCCCCGCTGAGCTTAAGTCGGCTAAATCACTGGATAAGCACACGATGTTGTCAACGGCCAGGATTCTCAGCGGTATGCAAATCGAGACTTTATTGATTGCGCGTTTAGCAGTTCAAATTAAGGGTTTCAGTTTTCAGCATGGAAAGGGTTTTAAAAACCGTCCTCAGCCGAGTCAGAAGTGAAAATGAATCAATAGCATGTGAATAATTAATTGTTATCCAAACACAAACCTACTTTATTAATTTCTCGTTGGCCAAAAGCCAATGACCTGAGTGGTAAATTTAAACGTGCCATATTTCTTATCTTCCCTATTTGCTTTATAATTATCGACACTGCTTGTGTGTTCAAAGAGCTCTATGTAAATGGGAAATCCTTTAAGACCAAACTGTATCTAGCTTAGGCAATTAATCACCCATTGATTTCCCTGTGGGCTCTCAAACGTGGAGTAACTCGGCTGCTCTAATGGCCCAAAGGAGATTCATGAGGCGGAGGGAAGAGGAGTGAATTCAGGCATTACATTGTCGGGAGAAATCGAGACACCTCGCCATTAGACGGCTTAGCTAATTATTAACTGCATTAGATTCTGACAAATGACAAATTGCCTTGCCACATCCTGCTCCTTGTTCTCCTTGCGTTCTCCCTGCCACACAAACTGTGCACATGAGTGTGTATTATCGCTGTTGCCGCTAAGTATTTTTGACACAAAATTAGTTACGCGAATGGAGAGAGGGCGAAAACACGCCCAGCACATAAACACCCGTGCGGGAAAATATTCGGCATGAGCTCCGAAAAATTTCCAACACTTCGGGCCTGGTCATTTATCATTAAAAATAACCACACTGCGAAAAAGGCGAAATGCGTAATTATCGGGCTGCGGCCGTGGCAGGCGAGTGATTGAATGTGTTTCATCAAATATGTAACATGAATTATAATTTTTACATATTCGCGGTCTCTCTCATTCCGGTTTCTTCACATGGCATCGCCGGGGAAGTGGAAATCCATCGCGTGCCTCGAGCAAATCCAACATTTTCCAGCGACAGCGAAATGAGCTATAGAGAGCCAGTCAGAAGTGCCGATTTGTGGTTCGACTTACAACCCCATGATATTCCATATGTTTCACTACTAAAATAGTTCTAAAGAGTCAGCTAATATTAAAGATAGAAACAGTCTTTTAGCAACTGCAATTGTTAAAGTATTAAATAGAATTAATTTTATTCCTACTAAGTTTAATATTTGTTCAAGAAAAAGTACTCCTTTGGCTTGAAATGAGATCTTAAATCTCGAAATTAATTTGCAATTTTATCTAATGCTTGCCATTGAGCCAATTGCTTAATTAAATTCAAGATACACATCCCCTTTCTGTGCAACACTGTTTAGCTGCTCGGCGCTATCTGCATACATTGTGCGATACGGGGAGATCTAAAGTAGGCACACTTGCCGCGAACTGGGGCATAACGCACTCAACACGGCATAAATTAAAATTTTATGTCCGACGCGGGGCTCTTCCTTGTGGCTCGGTTTCTCGGTTTACTTTCCCGGTGGCAGGAGTGTGTTTTGTGGCTCGGCAATTCACAGCTCACGTTGCGGCCTCTGGATTGCGTGTGGCAAGTGAAACAAACACGCACGAGACAGAGCCAAATATGCGAATTACGATTTTTAGTGGCCCGCCGCGCGAGTCACGTTATAATTTGCCAGCCAAAAATGAATTCCTACAATCCTACAATCCTACAATCCTACAATCCAGGCCGCATTCGCTAATCAAAACAAATGAAAACAACATGAATTATGGCCGGCCAGGGCGAAAGGCTAATAGGGTTAAAGCCGCAGAGTTCAGCAAATGAAATGAAAGCCCGAAAAGCGTCCCACACATGTGTCCCATTTTTAATGAAATTGTTCGAATGTGGCTTTCGTTTTCTGTTTTCCTTCGGTTTTGGCCCCTTGGAATCGGACTCTTGGCTTCGCCTCCGTGTGACACACGTAATTTGAATATATGGCACTAGGCTTTGGTTCCGGCCACAGGTCAATGTGGAATGTGGCAAGTGCGGTCAGGCCTCTACGATTATTCGGGGCACTGTGTCCCTTTGACGACTTCCAGCCCGGCGGCTTGATAAATAATGAAGTCATATGTCTAAAGTTGAATTTTATACTATCACGCAATTGCCCGAACCCAAAACCCAACGCTCGGAACTCAGAACTCAGAACCCAAAACCCAAACCAATTCCTAGGAACACGACGTACATTGTAAGCGACGCCCACATTTTCGCAACTTTTTATGTAATCGTAAAAATATTTTTATGATTTCATAATTTTACAGTGTTGGCGGGCAGGAGGAATGCTTGTTGTTTATGGCCGTAGCCACATTGCCCTGCGCCACTGTCTCTGCACTCGAAGAAATTTTAGAGAATTTTTTAGCAACTCAAGCTAATGAAATTATGCAAAGAATTTTCGATCAGGAATTCGCTTTTAAAGGAACAGTTTTACTAAAGAAATTTCTAGTCTTAAGATGGGAGACCATTAAGAGAAAAAGGAAAATCCTTTGGAAAAGCAAGCCAAGTCAAGAAAGAAATCAAGGACCAACTTTCACCGCTTCTCAGTGCGCTTTCTGCAAATTTGAGGCATTTTCATTTCGCCCCAGCTTGGATTAATTTTTGTAATTTTCCACCGGCGCATCCGCCGCATTCAGAACATTCAGGACATTCAGTACAAAACGGTGCTTTAAGATCATGCCTGGCTAATCTTAGCCTTGACTCATATCGCGGCATTTGCTCGCAATTTTATGCAAAACCATATTTCCCAGCTGTAAAAGTTGCCACTGCCGGCGGTTGGGGCCCGGTCGAAATGGAATCTCGGCGGGTGGTCGTGCTGTCTGCTCCTATTTTCACCCACATCGGGGGAAGGATACATACACACACGTGTTCAGAGGGGAATAGGGGGAATGGAGGAAGGGCACACACGGGGAGCTCTATCTGTATTTGTTTAAGGCTCGGCCACCTTGCAACAAGGACAACACACCGCTCACCGCTCACCGCTCACAGCTCACCGCTCGCAGCTCACAGCTTGAAAAATGTTTGTTGTCAACATTTTCAGTTTGCATCGTTAGCTTAAAAGCGTGCGCCACCGAGCGACTCGCACAATGGGGCGAAAATCGATAAACGAGACAAACCGTGTGATTTGGCCCCCTCCGGGCCACAAAGGACTTCCATTTTGATCGCAAAATAGAAAAGTGTGGAGGTTACAAGGCCACCGGTCGGTTGGCGGTGTCTGAGGGTACGGGTGTGGCGCAAGTGCCGTGAAAGCGTTTTACTTAAACAGAAATTAATTATTCCGATGAATTTGATTCGCTGGCGGAGGAGAGCCTCAAAAAAGACTCGAAACTCTGACAAAAGTTTATGAATATTTTTGCTAATGGCTTGGCCGAAGATTGAACTTTTCGCCCACAGCTGCTGCAGATAAATAAATTAAAATGTGTGTCCAACAGGTATCCCCAAGCCAAACACCAGGCCTCCGAGCGTTTCCTCGGAGGAAAGCCTGTCGCAACAACAGGATTTATCCGCTTCTATAAATATTCTCCTCAGCGCCGCCAAAGTTATGGCAAACTCTCGCAATTAAACTGTCAGACTTATGAATTCATTAAATATTTTAATTGTAGCTTTTGAATAATTAAAATTCCATTTATGTGGACGTACACATACCTCAAGCCATAAATCTGCGATTAATTAAAAGCCCCGTTCTCAGATACTCAGATTTCCCTCTACTCTACTCAATGCCTGTTTGCGGCACCCAGTTCGCAAACGTAATGGCAATTAAACTTAATTACAAAAACATAACCGAAACTCAATTTGAAAATGCTTCGACTGCCTGGATCTCCAGTTGATTGAACTGTCTGTTCCGACAGCGATTTGCAATTTATGCAAATCACGGCGCTCGAGGTGAGCGGGAATAAAAGAAGTGGCTAGTCGTTGCCTGGATTGTTTTGCCTAACTTTGCATTTGAATGGAGTTAACAATAGGTATTGGAACACGGGGAGAAATAAATTGGGTAGGATAATTCTTCATTTTGTTGGAAATTAACATAATGTAAGATTTGCTGAATATAAGGAATAAATCATGAATATTATCTTGACAATCCATTGTGCTGTTAAGGCACTTGAATATTAGATTGAAACAGGGATTCTTTTCTGTGTATTTGGGTTCACTCACCTGGATCATCGTCGTCGTCCCAATCGATTTGACCGGAAGTTATGCTGATGTGAGCCGCGAACAGGAAGAGCGTGAATAAAGCCAGGCAGCTTCGTGTGAAGTCGGCGTTGTAGGAAGTTGTTACGGGCATTGTGGAAGTCCTTTTCGCTGGCAAATCCGATGTGTAAAGTGTGACAATTTATCTGCAGACTCGTCTCGTATCTTTTAGGTGTTTACCCGCCTCTCTGCTGATGCTCTGCTGATGCTCTGCTTTTCTCAATTTAATTTTACCGAAAAAGTGCACTCACTCGCGAACACATTTACAGGAGCTGGAGCTCCAATGTTCCCTAAAATCGTGTAGCCTTCACTGCCACTTCTGCTTCGGCTTCCACTTCCACTTCCTCAAGCTGAGCTCGTCTGATTCGGAATTCGGGGAGTGCGCGGCTTTTTGCTCTCGACTCCTACAACTACTAATTAAGTTGTTTCATTTTCAGTTTTTGCCCGGGGCATAACTTTCGCGCTGCTGCTGCTGCTGCTGCTGCTGCTGTTTCTGCCACTGATGTTGCTGCCGCTGCGTGGCACTGAGGTGGGCGGCGCTCCTCAATTGTTGCATTGTTTTTCCGATTTCAGTTTTCTGCAAGAGGCGGAGAGGATGGAAAAATAGAGAGGTGTTCGGAATTATAATTTCAGTTCTGCCGGGGGGATGGAGTGCAAAATCCTTTTCAAGTGGATTAATAAATTAGCTAATTGCATGCTGGATAACGAGATAATGATACCGGTGTACGGTTTGGTTTTTCCCAATTAATGTTTACAATGAATCATTTGAATTTGTCCACTTAGTGGAGTTTTAAGTAAATTGAACCCTTTGCTTATTATGCAAACATTTCATGAATTCATTATAATTGCAAACTTCCCATATATCGTTGCCTGAATTATTTATGAAAAATGTTGAAAACTTGAAACCTAAACCCGTCCACATAGTAAAAAAATAACTACTGGCTAGTTGCATTTTCAAATGAACAGAGAAATATATTAATTTTAATATATCCTTGCCTGAATTAATTATGAGAAATGTTTAAAACTGGAAACCTGAAACCTTCCACATAGTAAAAAAAAACTACTGGCAAGTTGCATTTTCAAATGAACAGGGAAATATATTAATTTTCCCAACCAAGTTACATTTACAACATTTCCATTCCTGTAAAACTCATTAAAATATTTAACTTTGTATTTGTTAGACGTCATTAAGAAAGTGCTGCCTGGTTTGGTCCGATACTACGCCCAAACTCTTACTCTTTGACCCAGTTTCGTGTTCCAAGTTGTATCCACGTAGAACGGAAATTAGTTTCACTTTCGGAAGCTAACAAGCTGCGCAATGATGACGGGCTCATTGAACCCCAGTCTCTTTTTCGGCGGAGCACTTCGCGCCGCTTTGGCCCCCAAAACGGTTGCCTACTTTTCGGGCCACTATCTGCAGTGCCTAATTTGGCTTGGTTCGGGCCGCATCCCGCCGCCTGGCTTATTATGCGCACTTCAAACTTTAGACAACGCGGCAGTGGCAGTGGCATCGGCAGAGGCAGAAACAGCGGCAGCAGCAGCGGCAACAGCACATTGTTGTACATGTTGGCAAACATCTCACGCCACGGCTGCCTGCACATCCCAGTCGCCCAGGCCGAAAACCAACCGAACACCAGCGAAAATGCACTATAATACAATCTAAGCTAATCAGAGTGTGCACTATAGTTCAGTTTCTTTTTAATGGAGCTACCCTTTTTAGTGAAAAATAAAGGTATACAATATATCGAACTATATTGTACACCTGGTTCTATAAAAGTTATAATTCTTTAGATTTGCCTAAAAAATATAAATATTTAATTTGCTACTTTTTAGAGACAACTGAAGTTGTAGATTATTGGCAGATTTATAATCTGGTAAGGAATGTATTTCAAATTAATGTATGAGTTTCATTGCAAGTGATTTATATATTATACTGTGGTTACAAAAATTAATTTGAAATTTAAAGAGCAGAATATAAATGGCAATTTTTTTTTATAATTATGCTATGAATACAAGTAATGCATACACACAAAGCATTCGAGCAGCTTTACTACGTTGCTTGAATTATTTTTTATTTAAGGAATCGCCTAATTTAGTATATAATTATTTTTTGCAGTGCAGCTCCTGCTCAGCCTTCAGCTATCCGCTGCCGGTGGTGCTTTTTATGCAGGCAGCCACTCACTCAAATTTCGAGTGCAGCAGCGCCGCTGCAGCGAATTTTGTATACATTTCGTTTAATTTGGCCCGCTGCCGAGGGCCTCACCCCCGCCCACTGCTCCCCCCGCTGGTGGAAAACTTTAGCGACACTGTTTTGGAGGGGGAAATGTAATACAGAAAAAACAAAACAGAGAGTTACAGCAAAATAAAAATCCGAAAAGCGGGCGGTGGAGGCGAAAAACTGAAAAAGTTGTCTGCCGAAATCAACGCCACTTTCGCCACAAGCATTAAGCGTTGCATGCAAAATTACCAGCGAGTGGTTTGTATTTCCACTCTGATTGCTGTTTAACATGGTTACATTGTCCTTGGAACCGAAACAGCAACAGAAACAGCAACAGAAACAGAAACTGAAACCGAAACTGAAACTGAATCAGAGAAACAGAGTCCTGGCGCGGTGGAATCCCGGGTTCCGCGGTTGTTTCACTGGATGGTTGTTTCGGTAACGAGGCATGTGCATCAACATCTATGGTGGCCGTGCATCATGACACGCTCCAGTTGCTCAACTTTCTCCCAGCTTTCACCCGCTTTGCTTTGTCGAAGCGCTTTTTTATCGCTTTATTTATATGCATATGGGACACGGGACAAGTGGCGCCCAAATGCAGAATGGGGCGGCATGAAATTGCCGCTGCAAAAACCGAAAACTTTGCCCGTCGGCCGGACAAACTAATTTGCGCTCAGACAGGAGGGCCAGGACAAAAGTTTGCGCCTAAACACTCACTTGAGGTGAAACCGGTTTTTAGGAACTTATGCACGACAAGAGGCAAACGGCAAACATGTGCGGTTACTTCATCAACATTTCACGCTCGACTTGGCCATCCTGGCCAAATGCTAGAAAAAACTGCCAAGGCACGCAGCAAAAATGTATGCAATGCCGGCTGCTGTTCCTCCGCTCCTTCTTTTCTCTTTTCTTCATCCCTGCTCGCTCACCTGGCCGGCAAAATAAACTCGACTCAACTGTGGAAAATCAACTAGCTCCTGCCACCTGCCTCCTGCCACTCCCCCTTTTTGCCGCCCCTCACGTGGCCCAAAGTTTGCCTTCAGCTCGACGGGTCTAGTTATTTTTTGCAGCTCCTCCTCTTGGCCAGCGCAAATACTTGGCAGCGTATGTGCTCTCCAACTTGTGTATATATTCATGCGAGCCCTTGGCCAGGAACGAGTTCGTGTAAGCGTTTATCGGTCAGGGCTCCATTCCTGGCCCAAAACCTTTCGCATCTCTGCCCTCTCAAGTACAACTAAACTAAAGCTCAAAGGAAAACATTTAAGCGAAGCTTAGATGATTTCGTGTTTTTGCATTATAAATTTGGAAAAATACGCATTGTTTGGAAGGTTCATTTAAGAGCAGATCTTGCTTAAATTGCGACTTAAAAATATTCCTTATTAAGTTGTTACATATTCCATAACTCTTAGTGCAAGAAAAGTTTTAGTTTTAGGGATGTACATCTAAGGCTCAAACATTTAAGTGAAGCTTAGATGATTTCGTGATTTAACATTATTAAATTAGAATCATTAAATCATTAAAGAGCTGCATAATATACGTAATACCGACTTGAAAACAAACAAGAAATTTCCTATAGCTGTTAGTTGTCCAGTTCAAGAACGAAATAGGTGGTTTCTTTAATGGAAGTGCTCCTCCCTCGAGCTTTTCATTTGCTCCGCCTTTATTTCGCCGCTTTTTCTGCGACCGTTCGGCACGTTTTGTGGGTTTGGTGGTCCGCAGTTGTCGTGCTCGGAGCTTCTAAGATCCCGGACTTCGTGCGGCAATTCGGACAACGAGTTAAAGTGTTTCGCCACGCACTTCAATAAAAACACCTCCACGTACACACAGCCGGTAAGCAGCTAGTTTCGTGACGGGCGACTTCGGCGATACGCATACGCAATGTGGGCCAGCCCTCAGCCATCGGCGGAGTAAAGTGGCACAGTCTGTTCGCGGCACGTATATATATGCTATGCTATATGCTATATGCTCTATTGGTGTATTGTGTGTGCACTGGGTGCTCCACAATTATCCGTCTGTCTGACGGAAGTTCTTTCCTCCTCCCAGTGGCGCCATATGTTCAAGTGCTTAATAACTAAATGCCAGGAGGCAGAAAGCCGAGTCCAATAAAATATTCGGGCAATCGGGTAACTGGTGCCCCTGCCCCCATCGCACCCTCTTGGCGGTCGTGCCGCGGTCTCGATTCAATACAAATGGCATTTATTCAAAGATAATTAAAAACCGATAGCAAAGCCAACCCCGCCTACAGGCGTCTTAAACAATAAGCTCCCTTAAGCCTTTAATGTGCGACCCACGCTGGAAAGTTGGGCGTAACACTTCAAGGGATTACAGGCAGGGAAATGTAGAGCAAATAATTTAAGTACTAATTGAAGTGTTTCGAATGGTACTTAAAATTTTGATAACGAGCGTATAAGAATGTAAAAACTTCAATGTAATTGTGTGCATAAAAAGCGTAGAAAAATTGATTTAACCTTTCGTGTTAAAGTCCACAATTTTGTGCTTACATTACTCGTTACTTTATTTGATTCTCTGGTACTTCTCATTTTTGTTTTGAGTGTAAACCAGCCGGAAGCTATAAATATTCGATGTTTTTAAATTGCTTGTTTTTATCGTGGCCATCGAAGGTAAATTTAATCTTTTCGTGCGATGAAAAAACATAAGCGCACATTTAAATTGGTGAAACATGAAATCACGAATTCGGTTACCGATTAATGTCTTACAAAATCCAGCATAACTATTAATTTTCACTCATCATGACTATTTGTTTTATTTTTAAACGATTGTGATAAGCAAAATATATGTCTTTTATTTCGATTTTTGTATGTTTACTTTATCTATGATTATCGATTGTGATTAAAAATTTGTTTAACAATTTGTATATAAGTTTGCTTACAATTCTGATTGGGACTTTACGCTTTTCTGTTCGTGTA